CACTACGATGCGGGCTGGACGTACTACGGCACCAATCAAAGAGGCACGCGAGTTGATTATGTATGTGTGCCGCAGTCAAAGCTTGCAGATGTGAAAACGTGTTGTGTGCACTTGGACAAAGCTAGGCGTCTGCAGTATCATGTGTGCCCTGGCTTGCGTGACCATGTCCCGTTGTCCATGGAGTTAGTGCATGAGTTGGCCTATGATGGCCAGACACGTCGTCGGCACATCAAGTCTGACCGGGTTGCTCTTGCACTTGATGCCCTTACCGGCAAGAATCGGCACGCCTTTCTGTCAACCGTTGATGTTGGTTGTGAAGCTGCTTTGCGGGAGATGGGTGACGCACCCTTACCTCCCTCGCTGGTGTTTCAGAAGCTGCAGAACGTCGTGCAAGATGCCGCTGTTGAGCACTTCATTGCCAAGTCGCCTAAGTTCAAGGAACGGAAACCAAACACGGCTCTTGCACTGCAACTCACCTTGGATGCAAGGCATGACATTGTGCAAACTTGTGTTCAGCCTGCTCCTTGTGATTCCCTACAGTTTCGTTTCAACATGTTCGCTCGCTGGCGGCAATTCGCTCGATTCTGGAAGTTGCGTAGGCAGTCGGATGTGTTGCTCAAACGCGACGCCCGAGAGTTGCAGCAGGCCCGAATGGAAGCATTCAACCATTGTTGGGCCAAGCGTGATGTCAGAGGGTGTCACCGTCTCAGCCGATTACTTTCAGGGTTTAGGATGGGACCGAAGCAACGCAGGCTTCCAACTTGTCAGGAGTGGAAGCAGTATCTTGCGCAACCTGGCCCCGACGGAGGTTGCAGCGCGACAGTTGTTTCCTGGGATGACGTGTTGCTGCATGCATGTCAACCGAAACCGTTGCAAAGGCACATCCTGTCTGCGCACCAGCTTGCAGGCGCTGACTGGGCAGGGGTCCTGCATCAGGCGTGGGACCTGCCGTTACGCAAAAGTTTCCCCACATGGAGTGTTCCTGCTGAAGTGTGGCGACGGCTACTGCACCCCAAATGGCGCGTGTCCTCTCGAAATTTCGGCGTCGGGTTGGAGCACAGCATGCAATATCCCATTTGTCATTTTCAGAAGCTTTTCTTCCGGTTGTTGTTGTCGGTCCGAGTGTACAACAAAACGCCGGTTCAGTGGCAACGCAGCCAATTCGTGCAGGTCAGCAAGCACAACGGAAAAAGCAAATGCGCAGGGGTACGTGCAATCAACAACTTGGATCCTTTGGGGAAGCTCTACTACCGTTGGATCAGCAGTCGGTGTCGGACACACCACCTCCGGCCGTACGCGTCAGCATACACAAAGGGTAAATCTTGGGTTAGCTCTATGCTGCAGCAAGAGCGGTGTCAGGTCAAGTCCTCGACCTTGCCAGAACTTCATGTGCGGATGATGTGTGCCGAAAGCATGTGGTGCAATCTGCAGAGGGTATGGCGCATAGAGCATATCTGTCCAGCGCGCTCCTCGAAGAGGCTTTGGGTCAATTGATCTTGCTCAGAACGACGATAAACAGGCACATCACGTTGTGTTTAGAAGCACCAGCGCGGATTCAAACATGCGTACTGCGCATGGTGGAGTCTTGGTGCCAGGTCGTGTCGTCAGGTGTTTCAAGTATCTTGGGTGTCTGTCGCATTACTCTGGTAGAAATGCCGCAGAGATCAGTGCTAGGATACAGGCTGCAAGGACAGGGTGGTGCTGCATGGGTAAGTTCTGGAGTAATTTTTTTGCAGCAGGCCATGCACCGCCAAAAGGCCAGGGCTTGGTATCTTTACGTGCCACGTGTACTCCCGGCTTGTGTCAGGGTTGGAGGCCCGTGTTTTGCTGCAGGGCAAATTTGCCAAGCTTGATCGGACCGTTCTCGCGTATGGGCGAAAGCTCATGCGAGGCGCAGCGTGTGTCAAGATCACTGCTGAGGATGGCTCCACGCAATACCACGCTTTACCGTCCATGCATGCTTGGAGATTCTTGCAGTTGGCACCGGCTTGTGTGGAGTTGCAAATCAGGCGCTTGCGGTATTGGCACAGTGTTGCCTGCAGACCACACTTGCATGCCGCCACCCTTTGCAGCTGTTTTTGGCAATCTTGTGCTTGAAGCAAGGCCTCCCGTGGATGCTGCAGGCAAGCTTACGCCTTATGCCAACCCCTGGGCGGTGCAGTTCAAAGAAGACCTTGAAGCCTTGGCAGGTTGCGACGATGGTAGAGACCTTGTTGCACAGCTTGATGGTCGCGTGTTGCTGGTGTTCAGCTTGTATCGAGAGTTGTTTGTGGCGATTGATTGCAGTGTGCTGCGAAGGCAGTTCTTATCCGTGGCAATCCCACCACCTGAGTTGTTCAAGCGCCCATACCCGCACCTCCAGACCCGTTTGAAATCGACAGACCGCAAAAGTGTGACTGTTTGCTTGCTGACGGTACTCCATGTGAAGCATCATTTGCATCGTGGCAGCGTCTTGTTGCACATAAGACAAGAACAAAGACAGGTACGCACGGCCAGCCGTCTCTTGCTAGGCAGGCCACAGTGGCAAATGTGTGCCCTTGGTGTAGGCACATCTTTGCGACAAAGCGGGTTGCGCAACAACATATTCATCGAGCGCTGCGCAAGCGGCGATGCACCGGCAAAGGTTCTAACACTGCTTTTGCAGTGGTGCCTGAGAGTTGGTGCTGTCCTTTTTGCCAACATGAGCATGACAGTATGGATGAGTTGCTCACATGCATTACCGCACATGTTGTCGGACCAAACTCGTAGGGGGTCTGGTTTCGTTGTGGGTGCGGCCTTAGTTCCGTCCAAGGCCCCGTCAACATGAATCAGTGGTTCGCATCACGCAGCGAAGCAGCAACACCACAGGAGCTCGACATGCACCTAGTGGGGAAACTCTTGTTACTGTTGTCCAAGTTGTCGCTACGACACAGCCTCGAGATCAACGAGCTCCAGTCGGCTACATTCAAGACCATCGTGATGGGCAGGGAGTCCTCGTTCATCAGTGAGGCACAGGAAGCAACACGCTCGCTTGCTGAGAAGGCCAAGGACGCCAGAGAGACACGCAATAACAAAGCGATCGACGAACTGGGCGAACCGCGGTACCACAGCTGGGCAGCTCTGATCAAGGTGGCAGTGGAGGACACGGCCATGTCGCAGCAAGATCGAGACGTTCTGACTGCACATTTCAATGGAGTTAAGTCTGTAGCCGATCTTACGGACAAGGTGTTCATCGCCAAGGTCAAGCGGTGCATAGCGGTGCTATGACAAACGCGTGAACAAAGTCCACCTGGCCACCTGGCAGTGTGTGCTGAGCTGAGCCCCGTACTTGATGCCTTGCTACGTGCCATGAGTCGTGCCGGAGGGAAGATCAAACGCGGCCAGCCACCACGCAGCGGGAATGACAGGGAGCTGCAGGATCTTGTGGACAAGCTTGCCAAGATCGTCCAAGACGATTGACGAGCGCGAGCACTGAGCGGGTGCACGGAGCATGCGTACGCCATGCTTTCCGGGGGTGGGCTGCAAGACTCTCGTGCCGTAGACTCTAGTCGGGCCTTGAGTTCTTGCTGTCTCCAGTGGCGGCGGTACAGCTTGTGCTGTGCTGTCGTGCGCTGTAGGAGGTTTGTGTTTCAAATGCTGTGGCGGTCATTTCTGCAATATGCCACCTGCTCAACCATGACGCTTGGACGTCAGAGAGCTGTGGAAGAAGAAGATATGCCCGCAGTGCTGGATTGCCTAGGACACAGCCCTTGCAGGGCTCTCTTTTGACTGACGCCAGCAGAGAGAGGCGCGTGTCCGTCTTAAGCTTGAATGCCCTTGGCAAATCATGATGTGCGAATTATGCGAGTTGATGCGAGTTGCAAGGCATGTTGCATGGCGCAGAATGCTGCTCAAGCTTCAGTGTGGTTCAGGTCTATCGATGCAAACTGCAATGATCAGAGCAGCGGCCAAAAGGGCCGCACCGCAAGACTGAATTTCTACTCTCACGGTACTGGCAGCAGATTGTCACAGTTTGGGTCTATTGTGGGCATTGCAAGAACGAAAGGGTGTGTGTGTGTGTGGGGGGGGGGCGTCAAACGCACAAATGAAACACCAAAATCCTTGTCTCAATAGCGCTAAGTAAGGATAGTAATTACAGGGCTCCAACCGCTCGACCCGTCAAATTCCAAACCGATGCTCACCTCCCTGAAGTTTCGCAGTCCTTTCATAAATCATGGGCCAGTGTTCTCGGCAGCTTGATTGAGGACAAGCATGTGGACGCATAGAACAAGAGAAAGATGTGCAGCACAGCTGATATGATGCAGATGTGTGTGACGTTTCTCCACTCACAGCGCCACTTTCCCTGCACATTTAAGTGTCAGGAAGCCACAGGAGACCTGCTTCCAACAGAAGACAGCCAGAACAGGCGCAGGCCTACATCTAAGTAAGAACCGCCCCCTTCACATCAGGGACATTGCTTCAAATGGAAAACGGATTGCACAAAACCTCAATGCACAATCCTGTGAGCTTGCGCTGGTGATGGGACCCCGATCCTATCATAAGCAGAGTCTTGCCAAAGTATCCTACCCCAACCCCGTACCACACCCCGATGTGGGAGATGGGAGGGGAGTGGGTGATGGGAGTGAGGGGGTGAGGAAATTAAGGGAGTGAGGCGAGCGATCTGGGGTAGACGCTCGGAAGTGGTGGCAAGCTCGTGCACCGAATTGCTCTTCATCGCGCGCCGTGGCCTCCCGAACAGCACTCTGAAACAACTCTTCCCTGCCACGTGCACCAGGCCTTCCAAACCTCCTCGACGAGGGCCAAAGTATCCTGCAAACCATCGAGAGGCCCAACAAAACTCACAGAACAGTGCCGCGCCTCGTCCCACGCGTTTGTCTGGCGTGCTAGACTTTCCTCTACCCGCCGGTTCAGCATGCCGACCTGCCTCAGTTATAAAGTCGCAGGCGGGACCTTCAGCGTTGGCGCTGTTGTACGCCCAACTCAGTCCCGTGCAGCGCGGTCGGGGCGGTGCACCTGGCTGGATGCGCCGAAGCGGCGGATTCCTCGCGGGAAACGTCTGCGTGGCACGATGCTGCACCAGTTCCACAGAAGACGGTCTCAGCTCCCTGCGCCAGGCAGCCGCATCTCAAGTGGAGCCTCGCTTGGGAGGGCACTGGTGCGATCCAAAACAAGATGCATTGGCAGCTCAGAGCACGGCGCGAGTGCTTGGACGATCGTCGTATCGAGGATACGATGCCTGCCACGAGAATCTCACATGTCGAATTGCACTGCTCAGAGCTTCTTGCGTCAGCTCTGAGATTCCTGCTGTCGATGTTGCCCCACGGATGGGCTGTGAAGCATGGGAGTTCCGGGAGGATACCCCATCAAGGACCCCATCCCTGTATGGAATCAGGGCAAAGGCACCTCAAGTTCGAGCAGTCTTCCCGGATGAAGTGAAGAAGCGAGTGGCACGCAGCATCTGAACACCAAACGATAACTCGTGATCCCGAAACCCTGACCCCCGAGCCTTCCCGAAGCGGAACTCCACATTAGCGGCCTCTGCCTCTCAATGGTATGGGTGAAGGCAGAAGGGTCTAGAGGGATTCTGGTTGCTGAAATCACTCCAAGCCTAAAGACGGTACTTTGGTTGGGGTAATCATAGAGACATGGATCAGGTGCCGTTGTCCATAACCTCCAGCAGCTATAGGATGCGCGAGCTGTCGTCATCGTCGGTTACGGCCACCAGAGCAGCATGGCTTCTTACGCTACCCCCCCCACCCCCCCGGAAGGAATAGGATACAGACACCGAAAAGGTAGATCGGAATGGATGCGGACCTAGGTATTCTTCTTATTCTTATTAATATTGTTCCTTCTTACTCATATTATTGTTATGTGTTTTGATACTCTTTTTCCATTTTTTGAATAGAGGGATGAATTAGCAACAGCAGGTAGCACAGGCAGTACAGAGTCCGGGTACCCAAGTGGCACACACACACACACGCACAATTGCCATCACTTTGTCAGGGTCGTAAAAGCAGCGAGTAAAAAACCCATTTCTTGGGACAGGCGCAAAAACGTGATTGTGAATCTCTTTTGGCTGTCATGATGCACACGTTTGGGACTTGCTTGAGATCTGGTTTCGATTTTTCAGATGCGGAGGTTCTATACAGTTTTCTGACAGCCATCTTCCCTCCAGTCAGGCCTTGCCCACACCGTGAAGCCAGGAAGCCACAAAGCACGCACGACAGCCACTCAGGAACCCGGATGAACTGGCACCGGCTGTTGGCAAGGATACGGAGGCCAAGATGCAGCCGGGCAGCCGACAAGGCAAACCCGGCATGCTTCCAGACTGAAAGACCCACGCAGACAAGACGCCACACAGGCCAGGCGAATGCCCGCCCCGCTCGGCCAGAACTTGCAAGACAGCTGCCCATCAGTCTGCAAGAAGAGCTTCAAAGGAAAATCTTGCCCCAGGCACTGCATCCAGCTTCGAACACAAAGGCCGGCTCTCAGCTGCATTGCCGTTAAGGGTGTCATGCTCTTCTGAACTTTCTTGTTGTTAGTGTTTACTGGGTAGTTTGCACTTGTTCGCACTTCTTTTCCTGCAACTTTGCTTTTGCCATGCTGTCCCTAACAACTCTTGAGCAATTTTTGGCCGCTGCTGTGATGGCGGTAGGGGGCTGCGTGCTGTTGGCTCCTGGTTGAGAAGCCGTCATATGCGAGATGCAAAAACAGGCCTTGCGGCCTTTCGAGAAAACCGTGCAACTTGAAACTATGTTCTCCGGTGGACTGGGATTGTGAGATCTCGGAGTTGGAAGGTTTAAGGGTTAAGGTCCACATAAGATCTGCTTCAGGGTTCTAGGGCCTCAGGGCGCTGTCCTTGTAGCATTTGCTGGAGTCTGCTATGTTGAACCATCCCGGCAATGCCTCCCTCAACCCTGAACTCTGAACCGTCTCTTGGAAAGGCCTGGGTCACGTGGCTCTGCGCCTAGAACAGGCCGCGGGCCAAGGCTTAAAGGGGATCACATGAAGGGTTCCTTGCGGGGTTTCTTGAAGGGTTTAGGGCATAGGGCTCGCATAAGGGTTCCTCATCCTCGGTTTTGCATTGAGGTGCTTCGGGGGCCTTGATAGCGTGCGGCAAGGTAGGATTCACACGAGGATTTAGGGCTTCGGGTTTAGGATGACAGGCTTCTTAACCATTTCCTGTAAGACGTTTGCAGGTTCTGTGGGAACTTCATACGGGATGCTTCTGGGTTTTTTGGAATGTTATATCAGGATGTAAGGTTGCGTTGGGGAGTTCCTTTACTGGATTCCTTCTCAGGGTCCTCTAAGGGCTCCTTAAAGGCTTCCATTATGCGTGTATGAGAGCTGCTTCAAACCCTCAATGCTGAGATCTAAAACCCTAACCTAAGCCCTTGAGCAAACCTGAACCCCGCAAGTTTTGAAAAAGAAAAACAAACTGCAGAACCCTGGTATCCCGAATCTACCACAACACCGAAATATCGGGGCCCCTGCACCCTAAACCCTAAACCCCAAACCCTAAACCCGAGTGCCTGAGACTGTGCGCTCTTCACGGCGGACTCGGCCTGGTGGAACAGAGCGGCTTTTGCCCCGGCACCCTTTTACACCTGGACTATGCATATGCCAGGAACCGAGGCGCCGATAAACCCTAAACCTGAGTTTTTTTTTAGGTTTGGGGTTGCGGGATTAAGGTTTAGGGTTTGAGGCTTAAGGCTTGGTTTAGGGCTTTGGGTTTAGAGCTTCGGGTTTAGGGGCTTTAACGCTGGAAAGGACACTCCGGGAACAGGAAGCATGTCATTAAACTCATTCAAGAGGCGTTGTCTCTGAAGGAACTCCAAAACAAAAGATCCCCTCCTTGCTCCCTTCGATTCCAAAAACTGGAACGTCCTGAAAACCTGAAGCCCTCAACACCAAGTTCAAAAGCACGGCCTAAGCCCTACAGCCCTAAACCCTAAGCCCTAAACCCTAAGCCCTAAACCCTAAGACCTAAACCCTAAGACCTAAACCCTAAGCCATCAACCCTAAGCCATAAATCCTAAACCCTGAGCCCTAAACCCGAAGCCATCAACCCTAAGCCATAAATCCTAAACCCTGAGCCCTAAACGAAAAACCCTAAGGCCCTAACCCCTTGAGGATGACACCGGCGCACCTGGGATTGCGCACTCTGCACGGCAGAAGCCGCCTTCAGCTGCAAAGGAGGGTTCAGGGTTTAGGGTTGAGGGCTCAATATCGGGGCCTTAATGAAACGGAATAGGGTTCCTTTCAAGGGGTCTATAATGACTACTATAAGGGCTAGTATAAGGATGTAGTACAGGGGCCTTAATACATGGAATAGGGTTCCTTTAACAGAAAGGCGTGTCGTGGACAAATAGTATTGGTAATGATTAATCAAGGCCCCTATAGTAAGGGTTTAGGCCGTGGGGCTGTAGAGTTTAGGGTGTAGGGTTCAGCGTTTAGGGTTTGCGGTTTCATGAGCAGCTGGGGATTTGCAACTGTTGAAAGCTTTGGTTAAGGGCTTGAAGTTGTTCGGTGGTTCCGGGTTCTAGTCATAGTCTGCTTGGTGGCTTGGGTCGGCGAGGTGGGCTGGTTTAAGGTTCAAACATTACCCGTGAAGCCGAAGAAACATCCGTAGGCCCCACGCGGTGCAAGCGCAGCAGGGCATGCCTTACCCTGGATGGTATGCTATTGCCGATATTTGCTAGCTCCACTACCATCACGTTCCTGTTGCCTACCCATGCACACCCAAACACCCACAACAACCATAAAGATCCAAGAGCAGTCCCACAGAAGCCTTACTTGAGCCCTGATCTACCCTAAACCTTAAACCCTGGACCTAAACCCTAAACCCTCGACCCAAACTCTAAACCCCTAAACCACGGCTAAACCAGAGACCTAACCCCTAAACCTAAACGCCGAAAAGACGTCCAAGGAGGCGCCTTGTCCGCCCCGGCCTGGAAAGTGGCGCTCACCTGGGAAGAACCCCCAGCTACAGAGTCCCCTTGTTCGGGTTTAGGGTTTGGGCTTCAAAGCTTTTTTTTGAGCACCTTTTTCCAGCTAGCAGTTAAGGCCGGCAGAAGGTTTAGGGTCTAGGGTTTAAGGCTCTTTTTTTGAGGGCCCTTTTCAAAAAAAAGGGCCCTCAAAAAACAAAGCCTTAAACCCTAGACCATAAACATTCGAGGTTTAAGGCAGCTGAGTAATTATAAATAAGGTTACAAGCGGCTAAATTCGGGATAGAAGTACATAAAACTAGAATTACCGTTCTATTGGCTAAGCTGGTCCCTTACATAGGGCTCAAGTTAGACGTGTAGCGTCCGCGGCACTCGCCTTCTCAATTGGATTGGGTGCCGACTCAGATGTGCCCATAGATTTATATGAGCTTTAGGCCAAACTGCACCCTAAACCCTAAACCCTAAGTTAATGGGCGTGGACAGTAAGGGGGATCTACACCATGGAGATGATTGAGAATCCTAAGGGACAGGCAATTACCCGGTTCCCATCCCCTGATGAGTTATGATAAGAAGACCCCTGAAAGCAACCCTAGAAAGTAACTCCGAAAGGAACCCTTCAAGCTAACCTTAACTAAAGTTAACCCGAACCCTCTTGAGGAGTGAAGGCTTATCAGGATCTACCTTCCGTGGCTAAGGCTTCTGTGCTGGTCCGAATGCCGGATCCTGCAATCCTGAACCACCCCAGAAAATCCATAATGCAGGACTAAATCCTACAGGTTAAACAAAGGTACATAAACAGCCCATGTAACAAAAGACTGAATGGAAGTACTCAGCTTGTACCAAAACCTTATGCAAAGAATCGAAGACAATTTCGGTCATATACATATACATATATATATATATATGTGTATATATATATATATAAATGTATATATGAATTATGTATATGTTAACTTATTCATTCATTTCAATATGTAGAAAGGCTTCAAAAGCCAACGAATCCGACGCCCGGCCTGATCTTCCACCTGCTGCACGGAACTTTTGGCCTGGCTCACGGCCTTCGGAAAGCTCGGGGTCGGCGCAGGGTGGGGGGGGGTTTACGGCTTAAGGTTTAGGGTAGTTTGGGGTTTAGGGTTTTATGGTTTAGGGTTGTTTAGGTTTAGGGTTTTGGGGTTAAGGGTCCAGGGTTTAAGGTTTAGGGCTGTTTAGGGTTTAGGGTTTGGGGTTTAGGGTTTCTCGTCTTTGGCACTAGAAAGGGAAGGCCAAAATTGAAAGTTCGAAAAGAAGTTGCTAGTTTTCTTGATTAGCGTTTAGAGTTTGGGGGTCAAGGGCTGAGCTTTGGGCTTTAGTGCAAAGTGTTTTGGGGCCATTCTAGCGAGATTCCAGTGCGCCTCACGATTGTTTTGTGTTCAATAAGGGTTTCATGCGGGTTCAGGATTAGCTGGAGCTTGCAGTCTTTATCAGGCTTCTGCATGTGTAGCATCGTTTTAGGGGTTCAGGGTTTACGGGTTTAGGGCTTAGGCATGCTATGGCTTGGACGCAACATAGCGGCCTACCTCTTCGGTTCACGGCTAGCTACGAGTAGGATTATAAGCCCCTCGCTCTCCTGGTGGACCCTATGTGCCCTGTACCACGGGGGCCTTATACCCCAAAGCCACACAAGACAGGAGCTACGATCCTTCCAACCTAACTGAAACTACTAGACCTAGAACCCAACCTAAACCAAAAGAGCATGTCCATTATGCCTTCTAAGCCTTTAGGCATTCCCTACACCCCTATGCCTTGCGGAATGCTGGACGCCAAGGCTTCCCACACCTCAAACCAGTGTTGGGCTTCTGACACTCGGGTACATCCGGGTACATCTTCCTCAGCAAAGAACCTTCCTCGGCCCTCATTGCTAAACCCCAACAGCCGAAGCCCTCCTGAATCCTAAACGGCCCTAACCCTGCCCCACTTCCGCAACTGCAACCTTCCTAAACCCTACTTCCTAAACCCCAAAGCCTCCTGAACCCAACTTTCTCAAGCCTACTGCCTCAACGCTCTTTCCCAAGCTCTCCTTCCAAAACCCTGTAGCCAACCTGCTTCATGGCTTCCTCGACTTTGCTCGCTGCCTTCACAGTGGTTTCGGGTTTAGGATTTCGGGCTTATGCGATGATTTCTGTGGGGATTATGCGCATTCAACCGGGTCTCTCAACGTCTTTCTAGTGGGTCATAACTCTTCGTAGAACCTACTCTTAAAACATCAGAGCTACTCTTAAAACATTGGTCCCTTCTGATCATCTTTGCTTTCAAGATCTTTTCATTCGTTGGATTAACAGGCAAGTCAGAGGCACAGCATGCTAGACTTTGCAAGCTCGTTCCGCAAACGCCCTTGTCGAACCCATTCACTCGGATCATCCTAGCTGGCGAACTATCCACAGTGCTGGCAAGTTGTTCTTGTTGTCACACTTGTGCGTCTCCGTTCCGGGGCCTCACATCACAGTCAGGGTTTATGGAAGAAGTGGGACCTGTAACCTTGAGAAATACCCAGTGGAACTTCGAAGATCACCTGTCGTGAAATCTGGCCGAGGTGCTTCGAACGCCATGTTGTGCCTCAGCAGCTCACATGATTTCCAACCATGATCAAAGGCTCCCCTTGAAGATTCCGGCGTCCGAAGTGTACAGCTTCCGCCTTTCTAGGCACAGTCTTCAACAAGCGTGGTGCTCGTTGCTATGTCCTCTCTTGTCAAGAATAACGATGTCACCTCCTAGACCTTCTTGTTACTGAACGTTTCCGTGCCTTCTCTGTCTCTTTGTCGGGGTGTGGGTCAGAATTTGAAGGCAACTTCTGAATACCTCTGAATGCCTCTGAATCATAGTTTAATGTAGTTTACAATACAAGGACAACAAGATCTAAACCACTTCTAAACCGAGGTACAGCGCAGAAACTGACGGAGAAGCGGGACGAGTGCACGATTGGACCGAAGAGCTGCAAGGGATGAGTGGAAAGATCCCGTGAGGGCGGTTTCGACGCTCACACTCGCACAAAGGCAGGCAAGGCTCCACAGGGTTTACGCTTTACGCTCTCGCAACTCGAACAAGCCAGACGAGGTTCTTGGTTCGCGTCGGTATACTACAGTGGTTCAGTCGAGTCCATCCAGATGAAAGGGTTTAGGTTTTAGGGTTTATGGGGATTCAGTGTAGATTACATAAGGCGGCTCTCTGAACTCAAGTAGGAAAGACCAATAAAGCTGCACTGCAGGAGCTGCGAACTGCTCGCCAAAGCCTTTTTGTGCAGCAGTGACCGTAGGTGGTTGAAGCCTATGCTTCCTAGTTGTGAAGCCGGCAGTGGGAGCAGGGCAAGTTATTTTGCTCATTTGCAACAGGGCCAGCAGTCCCTGCCAATTCATGCTTCGCGTCACATGCTACTACCTCTTACGGTATGCAAGTGTCGCCGGTTGGTCCAAGGCTGTGCTGTGCAAGTCATGATGGAACTGCGCCGGGAATACGCGTCTTTGACGCTGCTGCCATAATGCTGGGCCTGGACCAGAGCTGAAGAGCCACAGCCACGGCGGACGCTAACAGATGCACTGACCGGGCCTCGGGTTTGTCGAAATGCCCCTTGGGCCGGCCTCCAAGTCCCACCAGGCGAGGGCCCAGGGCGTGCAGCTCTAGGGCTCCAAGGTTCGGGCTAACTCTCTTTGCAGGTCGGGGCACCGGGCCGGGTTTGCCAAGTCTCGCGCCCCTCTGAGCGGAGCACTTCCCAGGTCCCGGCGACGTGCTCTGCGGAGGAGCGAATCGATGCGATGCGGCGAACCTCTCGTCTTCAATAGACTTGGACTTTGCGGGGCGAGGGTGGGGCATGTACAAGGGCAGGAATAGGGCTTTCAAGCCGCAAACCAAGCCTTGGCCTACGCATCCTACATTACCTCCAGCTGTCTGACATCATCCTTCTGACAGTACTGATACATAAGCTCAATAACTGCTCAATCCTACGGTTTGCGGGCTTAGGATTTGAGCCGCAAGCCTCATCTCTGTCGCTCAGGGCGGCGCCGGCCATGTCGGCTTCCCGGACCACCCGAAGCCCTGATCCTCGGCCTGGCGCTTCTTGCGGAAAATCCAAGTAAGGCTATGCTCGAAGCCCGAAAGTGCCGAAACGAGCGCGGATCGTAACTCTGCCCAAAGAGCTCCGACTTCCGCTCCGGTGTACCGCCAGGCCAGCAATCCTGTCCCGGGGGCACAGATCCATTCAGAGTTGGTTTCTGTCAACATCTACTTCTGCATGCTGCTTTGTCTCGTCCTGCATTATGACTGTTTAATGCAGCTCGCTCTGTAGTACTGAATGCGAACACATGCACCTATTCACTCGCATCCTTGTTGTGACCACGTGCAAACAGCAGGTGATGGTCGGTGATGGTGTGCTCGAAGCATTCGGCCAGCCCAGATTCTTGTAGCTTCTGGTTGTAGTCAAAGACGAAGAAGTCGTGAACCTTCCTGCATCCCAACGAGACTGAAACCCAGGAGATGCAACCATCGCAAGCCCATGCCATGCACATTTGGGGGAGCCGTGGGGCGCACGGAATGCAAGCCTGCTGATCGGTTTTGTCGAAACACTAGCAGAGTACGCTTCCCTTCAGGCCAGTAGGCTGTCGAATCCTATGTTGTGCGTTTCTTCCTTGGATACCGTAGCTCCTGGCAAGATGGCGCGTTGAGGAAACGCCCTCGGGTTCGAAGCGCACATCATACCTCAGGCTGCCAAGTTGGAACTGGGCTCTTTCTTCACCGTGGAAGAAGAAGGCTGGAAACCTGCTATCCCTGCAATCACGACCTGTAAGCATCAACACGATTGACAATGGACCAAAAAAAAGCACCACCCCGAGTCCTGAACGCCTCAGCTGCAACACTTGACTCTCAAGCCTAAAGCACAAACCTAGCGATGCATAGTATTCGAGTGAAGACACCCCAAAATCCGCGAAACCAACCACTGCAACAAAAAAGCCCCCCCTTCTGCTACAGCAAAATCAGCACCAAAAAAAAAGCCGAACTCTCCAACGCCGGATCCCAGGGTCCGGGGGTCATTATGATAATGGAAGATCAAATGGAAAGCAGGGCTGGTAGAAGACAAAAGTCTCTCACACAGTGTGCGTGGCGACTCTTGGAACTCCATTGACTCGTGTGCTTCGTCACTTTCAGCCGCAAGATTACTGCAAGCACGGCACTGCAGAGTTCCATGCTCATTCGGTGGAAGTCGTCGTGTCATCGAATGCCAGGAAACTTCTGTCGACTGCGAAAGCAATCCCGTGCCAAGGACCGCCCGTCATGATGTAAATTGCATGGCGCTTGGTGGCTACTCTTCGTGCGCGGCAGCCCAAACCACCGAGGCCCGTCTTAAACATGATCAATGAAACACCGTCATGTGCGGCTCCCGTCCTGTGTTGGTCGTGTCAAGATCCTCCACGAAGCCCAGGATCTGATCCCAGCCCAGGCCAGGGTGCCACACCTCCAGTCCTCGGAGGAGAGCGGTGTGGAATGGCACTACGCAGAAGCAAGCCCAAGGAAAACTGCAAGCACTGGCGACCGATTTGCTCTCTGCTGCTTGCAACGGGTATAGTTAGGGCACTAGGACGACATGAAGCAAGGTGTCAGCGTCAGTCTTTGACTGAAACAACATCGAACAACACCAGATGCTGCTAGCAAGCAACATCAGATGCCACAATGCCTGAGCTCTTCTGCACCTCAGCAACGACAATTTGTGCTTCCATTTCGTAGAGCCACAACACACGGGCAGCTGGCGATAACACTCGTCGGATGTTGCACAGGGCCACGTACTGAACTTCTGAAGGCATCACTGCTCTAAGATGAACATGTGGGTGTTTCTGTAGTGGTCTCTGACTGATTCCTACAGACCTCCCATTGTGTTGAAAGGCAAAAGCAGCCACAACACTTTCAGTCCAAGGCCAGGCCACAGCTGGAGAAGATCTGCATCCCCTCGCAGCGCTTTGATGCAGGAAGTTTCTCCCTCTTTCAATGCGTGATGCCTCTATCGGCTGTCGGCCTTGAGCGCTTGCTCGGGCCGAGGAAGGCTGCCCTCGAGCCGCATCGCGATCTCCCGGAGCCGGCCCATGAAGCAGCAAGACTGACAGAGTCGCCAAGGCTGCGACCTGGACCCCAATCCAGGCAATGCTCGGGTCTCAGGTTGCATTATTGCTGCGGGTTTAGGGTTCCAGGATGTTCGGCAAGGCATGTTTTTCCCCCACAGGCGAACGGCACAGTCAAGCGTTGCCATCCCACAGCGCGCATCTGCACCCCCGCTCCCGAAAGATGTCGAAGAGCTTCTGGACCACTTCGTCTTTCACGCACTTGGGATCTATGCCCCGGGCTTGCATCTGTTTCTTCCAGGGTCCGTTGAGCATGTTTGTCACATGCCTCTTAACTTTGCCATTACTTTTATGGGCCAGGGTGTCACTAACTAGTTATGTGTGCGTTAAGATAGTTAGCTAACTAGTTACGTAACTAGTTATGTAACTAGTTAACTTGAGATATGCATAGTGTGAAAATGACATAGGCAATGATGTGAAATGACTAAAAAATAAGCTTGCAGGGACTTTGCAAAAGTTTGTATGTAAAGATCGCAAAGCCATAAGTTGGCTTGATAATGAAATATGTTTCAAGTGAACATGAAGAAAACACCCTACAGATGCAAGCTGCATTTCCATTTCTTCCAAAATATGTCTTTCACACACATCCAAGCGATGAGCATATTTCATGGCCCGAGCCTTTTCAACTTAGAGCCATGCATCGGCTTGACATGCTTTCATTGACATGCACCGGCTGCCTTCGGAACTCGTACAATGCCACACATTTTTTTGCAGCACCCGTTGTTTTCTGCATGCAGCATGATCAGCATCGTCAATTCAAAAGCGATGGAATCAAGGTGAGAATGCCATCCTTAGTGCATGTATAAGTAACCGCACTCAGAATCTCTGCCACGGGGACAACAATCCTTCGGTCTTGGTTCGTCCATGTTGCGAAAAACCTCTCCGGCATGTAAGAAGAGAAATTGTAGACTTGGATCAAGCAAAATGCTTGGCCGTCGATCTTGAACGGGGCTTGCAAGTGCCCGCAGTCCCACTTGGCATGCGAGGTTTCCTCTGGCTTGAAGAGAACCACATCGTTTCTAAAGGCCCGGGCGCCACCCTGCAAGATGACAAAGTTGGAGGTGTAGACTGGGCCCTTGGAAGCAAACATTTATTGGACAAGGTTGGCCAAGGCATTATTGGGCTTGCTGTGTGCAGCCAAACCAACTTCAGGAAGAGGGGTCCTGGCCATCCTGTGCAACTGCTCGCCTAGCAATTCCGTGTAAACGGATTGCTCGAAATGCGAAAGGTTCGTTACCTTCGTTGCCACAGCTGTGACCTGTTTGTGTTTCCGCTCCATGCACCAGCAGGGTAGTAATTGCTGCAGCTCTTCCAAGGAATCCCCCATATGCAAAAGCCAATGGAACTTTTTGGTCATCACGTGTCCCCACTTGGCTTCGAGGAAAGCCTTCAAGCATGCTTCCACCGTTTGGTCTAAATCTCGCCCAAGCACCTGGATCTTGCCGATGTTGCAAAGTGTGTCCAACACGAGACACAAGGCCAAGAAAGCAAGGATTTGCTTCTCAAGCTGGGGCACACGGTTCGCGAACAACTGAACATAGTACCTGCAAATGGTGTAAATGCAGAGGACATCTGAAGCTTGGCACTTGATCTTGCCGTTTGACCTGTGAGTGGAAACCCTAGAAGTGGAAAAGATGTCTGCCATCTTGCAGGATTCGAAGGCTCGGGGCAAGTGCCAATCGGCCATATAGTCTTCCATGCCTTTCCACAACTGCAGATCTTCCATGTGGAATGCTTCCAGAATACAGTAAAGCCCAATGTTCATAGCACCGGAGCTGCAGGTTGCATGCATCCAGTCATGCACGAACATCGTGCAGGGCTTAAAGTAGTCTCGCAACAAGCCACAGCCTAGAATCCCGTGTGGTGTGTACGTCCAACCGGATGCTTGCTCCCAAAGGCTGAAATCCTTGGCAGTGGTGGTTGATTTCCTAGAATGCAAGCGATCCCAACTCTGCAGGCATTCCTCGTTCGAGGTCAATACCAGGTCTGCCTTCTTCGTCGCTTTGCATACCGCCTTTTCATCATCTGTTTCATCCTTCAGCAAGATAGCAACCTGATTGCTGCACTTGAGACAGAACTTAGAGCCACTGTCGCCTTTGATTGTGAAGATTTCCCTTTGGCTTGCACCATCTTGGATGAAATTTCCAAGTGTGAAAAACAATCGCCACTTCGAGCCATCAGGCTTGTCTAGCATAATGCCCAGATGCTGTGGGGAAGCCACCTTTCCATGGAAGATGCTGCAGAGCAGGTGCTTGATCACTTGGGACATGTGCCCCTCGATCTTAGCAACACTGCTTGACCTCTGCACAAAAATCGGCAGCCAGCTATCTTCCTTGGATAAGAGCTGCTGTCCGAACTCCTTAAAGGAGACATAGGTAACCCAGACCTTCTTCCGTGCATTGGCCGCCAGTGGGTTGGCTGGCAAGCACTCGTCTGAGTACATAACCAGGCTCCATGGGGACTCCAAGGACGAAGGGCCATGCACACTGATTGCAGACTGCATGCATTCGAAGAAGTGGCCACCCATCTGCACGGCAGCATACAGCAAAGTGAGCAGGTTCACCATGCAGACTGCCATGCTGCTTCCGTCCTGGCAAAGCATGGACTCGCTGAGGAACATCGGGCCATGGGCACAATCATCCCATTGCTTCAGATCTGCAACCGCCGATCTCCTCATGGACTTGGAGCTCTTGGCCTCCGGCACCCCATGCTCCTCCACATAGTGCAAAACCTCAGAGAGTGCCTGCTTTGTCACGAAAGGACAAGCTCTTCTCAAATCATTGATGCCCTTCAGCTTCTTGCTGGGTTGGCTCGCTGCCATGTCGGGCTCATGCAATTTGGATGTTGCAAGTATCTATGATGTGGGCCGTGTCTAGAAGCCTATATAGATACGTTTAGCTTCTAAAGTCCTGCACTTGGGTTTTGTGGTTCTAGGAATATATATATATATACTATATTCCTATCTAGTCGATGTGCACTATAGGTTTGGAAGCTTCGGGTTGGAGGAATGCATAAATAGGAAGTGGTACTGAAAGATTTGTTGGGCCATTGAGCACTATATAAAGTCATGAGGACGACATTGCTCATATTGTACATAGCCAACATAGGCTTATATGCAACTTACCAGGCCTTTAACTTAAAGCCTGCAGTTGAGATGATGGGCAAACCCCAAGAAAAGCCAAAGTGGCTACGACATGGCTTGGAAAAATTAAAAGCCACTGCATGGCTTCCGTGCTAGCTAACACGAAGATAGCAACAACAGAGCCACGACGGCTTATAAGCACAGACATATGCATGGCTATATCCTGGCCTGCATTGAAGACCAACAGCCAGAAGGGCTTCGAAACACTTCTCATAGATAGCCAAAGGAGGCTTGTGCAGAGAAGGCATGCAAAGCCAGAGTGGCTCAGAAACTATAGCCAAGAAGGCTGGACTAGAAATTAAGAATAGGAATAGAAACTTTAAAGACAGAATGGCTTCGAAACAGCAGACCTGCATAGAAGTGAAGGAGAGTATATAGAGAAAATTTAAAGCCAGAATGGCTTGACATGGCCGTAAATGTAGTGAATGTATAGTGGCTTGCATGCATGCAAACAACAAAAGCCTCGCGCACAGCGCTTTTTTCTTCGTCCTGCCTTGCCCCATGCCAGGGGTGGTGACACCTCCGACTGCTGTGCATCTGCATTTGTCGATGCTCGCAAAACCCCACAACCCCCTATACACGGGTGATCCTCGGATCATTTGTACACCTTTCCATAGCGAGCCTTCTGCTCTGCCACAAACTTAAGATAGTCAGCACGACCACGGAATCTTCTGCCGTTGAAGCTCGGATCTTGGCAAGTTGTGCAGCCGAGAGGATTTCCTCGACATCGAAAGCATCCCAGGACATCCGGGAGGCCTGCTGCCCTTTTGGCTGCAGGCCTCTTAAGGATCCCGGGAAGGGCTTTCGCTGCCGGGGCCGTCGGCTTGCTTTTGCCCGCAGCCTTCGGGACTGCTTTTTTTTGGTCGCTGCCTTTTTGGCAGCTGGCTTTTTGGGATCCTTCTTCGACTGCTTTGACTTTGCCTGGAGTTTCTCGAAAGCAGCATCCTCCAGCTCTTCAAG